AGCTGTTTCCACAGCAAAGGGCTGTTCCTCGCTTCCCCATCTGCCAAAATTGACTTCATTTCTTAGATTTGGCATTTCTGAACCAATATGTTCTTCTGCAGCAGGGATTAAAAATCCAATATAACAAAACCAATTGGTTGTACCAGCAGCAATATTAAAGACTGCGGAGAAAGAGCCCAACAAATTTCTACTATTTGGCTGAAATAGAACCAGCAAAGAGAAAGGAAATTCTGTCAGATGTATATATACATATATAAATGCATATATATAAAAAATTCCAAATCTGATCATTAAAATGTAGATGTACCTGTATGTGGTGTGTACCTGACTTTTTTCCTAATGTTTGTGAAAAACAGTTCCAAAAGACCCGCCTACTCTCACTGCGCATGTGAGCGTTTCTTTCTCTGATCAGGGGGTGGCAGCCCCGCCCTCAGAACACACCTGGGCGCAGCCTTCATCCCGCAGGGTCCAGGCGCGGAGGCACCGGGATGCACGTGACACCTTCCGAAGGGGCAGAGCTGGAGAAGGGGCCAATAAGGAGGGATGCTCCGACAGACGAAGCCACGGGGGAACAGGGACGAGCCCAGGGCAGCTTTTGCTGGAGGGACAGGGGAAGTGTCACAGGGGGCGGGTGGAGCTGCTGGGGAGGATACGGCAGCATGTGGGATATGAAGGTGGGGAAGCTTCCGTCGTTTTCCTGATCACCTAACAGGGATGCTGCGGGCTTTCTGGACCGGCCGGGACCTCAGACACAATAATCCATTCCGTCCCCTGCAGTGCCTTTTGGCCGCTCTGTTTCAGCGCGGGGAGGAAGGAGGCATGTGCCCTGGCCGAAGGCTGCGCGGGGCTCACCGCCCGGTTGCCAGAAAGTCTCCCTCCTCCACGTGGCAAAGTCTCCCTCCTCCACGTGGCAATCGCTGCTGCCCCTCGGCTCCCCGCCACGCAGCTGCCCCGACTGTGCCTCCGCGGGTCTCTGACCCTGCCCGCCTTTGTCTCCTCCCCATTTCAATCAGGGTCAGGCAGATCGTCTTCACGCCTGATCTTGAGGATGGGAAAGGGAGACAGACATTTCTTACCTTCTTTCCTGTCTGCTTAGAGCCAAACGTATTCCCAGCCGAAGATGAGAGCTGCTACCTGAAACGCAAGTTTTCCAGCAAAAGGCCACCAGAATCCCCGCTGACCAGACCGTAGGAGGACGGTGGGGTCCTGGAGAGCTAGATGCCCCCGTGCAGCTGCAGGGACCCCGGCAGTGTCCCCCTGTCCCTCAAAGCTCTCCTGGGCCGCATTCTCCCCTCTCCTGTCTGACTCACGGGGCCCATCACAGCCTGGCCTCCTCTCCCCAAGAAAACCTGGCAGGATCTCCCCATACTGGAAACAAAAGCCTGGACGGGAGGTGTATGGGGACAAGGAAGTGCCAGCTTAAACGGAAGGAAATGGAGGTCAAAAGCTTCGCCAAGTGGGGCTTTGCGATACGATGTCATTTACTTTTGCATATGCTTGACGTTTACCATAATAAAAAGATTTTTAAAGTTGGCAAAAGAAAAAGGGGAAGGGAACAAAGAGAGAACGATAAAAGAAGGAAAAAGGGAAGGAAGGGAGGGAGGGAGGGAGGGAGGGAGGGAGGGAGGCTTTGGAAACCCACCAGACGCTGGTACTTCCCGGCCTCCCGAGGCCGCCCCAGCGCGCCCCCTGGTGTTCGCACGTAGCGTTGTCCTGTTTGGAGAGCCGAGACAAAGGTTCCTTCCCTCATCCCCACAGGTCATCAACTACTGAAGCTCAGTTTTTAGAACTCCATTCTTCCCCTACCGGGAAAGGAGAACAAGTGAGATTTTGTGTGAAATTTGTCTGTACCTCAACTGGTGTAGTGTGGGCGCGGGGGGATGGTTTTCCTTTTCCCCGTGCGTGTCCGTGTCGCAGATAATGAAGTCATCCTCCCCCAGCCGCCATCCTCACCACAGACCCGTCCTTCCCTTGGAGTATCCGTTTCCACTCTCGGCTCCACAGGCCGCTCCTGTGCTGAACTGGAGCTCATCGTGACTGCATCGGAACTTCCCGTTCATGATTTCCCTGCCTTCTTGCCAGGAGTGAGGATGCCGAGGGAGCCCACACGGAAGGCTTTGGAAACCCTGCAGTAAAGGCATTGCATGGGTAGCCACGTGTCCGCTTTGCTGAAAGCGCCTTCTGTGTTTTGCGTGGACACAGCTTACTGAGGACCCTGCCAGTACACAGCTAGCCACACATGGCACACAGCAGCACACAGCATGGTCACCATCCTTTCCTTAGTTGATGAATCACTCTTCAGTTAGAGATGATTATTTACCTCCTGACACTTCCACAGCCTCCCAGTTCCAGGGTGAGATCATTTGGAAAGGAACTAAAACAGATACCTTGAAACGGTTCAGTTCTTAGCTTGCTTCTTTCGCAGCCTTAAATTCATATCGTGGCACTCATTTCTCACCGTGAAAACCGCCAGAGATGGTGGGTGCCGTTACTCCAAGAACAGCAGCAGAACATTTCTTGTTCACTTGTTACCTTTGACTTTGATCTTAGTGCCCTGGTCCCTTGTAATAAAAGCATTGTTGATTCAGATATTAACAATGGGACTGTGACCAAAATGCTAAATTAAAATATCTAAGACAGGTTGTTGCCCGCAAGCTAAAATAATTTTAATCAAATTCAACCTCAAGACACACACACATTAAAAAAAAAAAAATACCTTGCACTATTTGTTCCTTTAGTTAAGCATGAAATCACTCTCTGTAATTATCGTTGTGGGGAAAATCTAAGTTTATAGCATAGAGTGCAGATGAGGAATTCACTATCAGCTAAGATTGAAGGCACACGGATGCACGAGGGGGTGTTTTTTCTCAGTGGTCGTTTATTCCGTGCTCCAGGAGGAGCTTAATCCATTAGAGCTTTCTACATACATGTCATGGTTCCTGCCATCAACACATTTGCCGTTTAATCCAAGAGACAGAAACCCCTAAACTTGGAACAGTGAGGGAGATGGAATTAATTTCTTAATGACCTTCTTTTACCAAGCATTGCACATTATATTTAACAACTCTGGGGGTAAATATGTAATTACCTCCATTTCACAGATCAGAAAACTGAGATGAAGAAGGGTCATAATTTTGGTCTGCATGAGAGATACTTCCCACTTATAAATGAACACACCAGTTTTCTGATTTTTATAGCTCAGAAAAAGTTTGGATACCAGTGCTTACCACTGAGAGATGCACCCATTCTGGGTGTGTTTGGGAAGGAAAGGCTCTTGATCTGGAAGACCAAGGACTGCTTGGGTCTAAACTGAGGTAGCATCACCAAGACATTGTCACTCCCAGATCCTCTAGCCTGGTCTGAGGCCTCCTGGCTTCTTACATTGCCTGCATTTCCCTCAGTGTGAGATATCTGTAGCAATGACCACAAGGAATTTGGAAAAAGAGAAGTTTCTTACAAGCAAAGGTGTATCCAACAGCCAGATGTCCCAGGTGGATAAATGGTGCAGGCTGGATTTCATCCAGCCCGGGAGATGTGACTGCACACCTGAGCTGCTGAACACATTCTTGCCACATCAGTGAGACAAAATTAGAATTAACAATATATTTATCTTTTTGAAAGTGAAAGCAAGTTTACTAAGAAAGTAAAGGAATAAAAGCTCATTTCATCCTCTTTTTTTTTTTTTTTTTTTTTTTTTTTTTTTTTTTTTGAGATGGGGTCTCACTCTGTCACCCAGGCTGGAGTGCAGTGACATCTTCTTAGCTCACTATAGCCTCAAACTTCTGTGCTCAAGTGGTCCTCCTGCCTCAGCCTCCTGAGTAGCAGGGACTATAGATACAAGTCCAGCTCATTTTTTTGTAGAGATGGGATCTCTCTGTGTTGCCCAGGCAGGTCTTGAACTCTTTGCCTCAAGCAATCCTCCTGCCTCTGCCTCTCAAAGCACTGGGATTCTCGGCATGAGCCATTGCACCCAGCTAACATTGTATTTTAAAAGACCTTGCCTTTGAGGAAAGTTCCTTTCTCCCCATCTGTGCTTCCAAAAGTAATACTATAGCAGCACCACAGTTATCCAAGATGTAACCATTAGGGAAAACTGGGTGAAGGGCACACAGGAATTCACCATATTATTTATTATTATAACTCCATGTGAATTTACATTTATCCATGTGAATTTACACTTAAAGTTAAACACACTTACATTTCTTTAAAAAAATTAAAACTTAAAAATGTATACTTAAAATTTGCTAAGAGAGGAGATCTTAGGTGAAGTGTTCTTATCACAAAACCAAATGATAATACTAGAAAAGTGGCAGGGGAGCGCTTTGGCAAGGGGAGCTGGGTATGTTTTTGGCTTTGGTGGTGATGGGTTCTTGGTATATTGAGATGTAAATTTATACAGCTTTTGACATGTCAGTCATTCATAGAGTGGGTTTTTTTTTTTTTTAAGCTAAACAAATATTACAGCAGCAGCATTAACTTTCGCTTCTTCATCTACCCAACAAGTATTTATTGGACACTTACTGCATGCCAGGCACTGTTGTCAGTACTGAGAGACAGCAGAGAATGAAACAGGCAAAGCCTTCCCCTTGTGGAGCTGGATTCTAATGTTAGTTGGCTAGACCCAGGCTTTCCAACAGGCTGCTGAAAACTCAAGATACTATGTAAATGCTGACTACAAAGTATTGACTTCCTCAGTTCCCCTAGAGGAGAGCTGATTATGTTTTTCTGGGTTGCTTGACAAGACTCAGACAATATTTGTAATACCAAGCTTTGTCCCAAGTGGTAAATAAACTTGTTAAGAAATACCTGTAAAGTTTAAACGCGTGCTCTCTTCGGTGCGTTTGGAAACTCTAACTCCCTTCTGTTTTGTACCTTTGTTTACTGCCCACTACAGAGCGTCCAAGCACGAAGCTGTGCACACAGTCGCTCGAGGCAGAAATGCTTAGGATGTGATCCATGAACCGCAAATTCCAGCTAGTGCCCCCAAAGACAGACGTTTCTCCACAAAACCATTCCAGTGCCCCAGAGGTCCACAGACATCCAGGAAGATGCAGCCGGCAGATAAAGAATGGCAGCCACCCAAGCGCTGAGGGGAGCCCCCCCGGCCACTTCTGTCACGGCTCCAAGGGTCTCCCCACGATGGCCTGCAACAGCACATCCCTCGAGGCTTACCCATACCTGCTGCTAAACACCAGCAAGGCCTCGGATTCCGGGCCCACCCCTCTGTTCGTACCCCTCAGGATCTCCTTGGCCATAGTGATGCTGCTGATGACCGTGGTGGGGTTCCTGGGCAACACGGTGGTCTGCATCATCGTGTACCAGAGGCCGGCTATGCGCTCGGCCATCAACCTGCTGCTGGCCACTCTGGCCTTCTCCGACATCATGCTGTCCCTCTGCTGCATGCCCTTCACTGCCATCACCCTCATCACCGTACACTGGCACTTTGGGGACCACTTCTGCCGCCTCTCAGCCACGCTCTACTGGTTTTTTGTCCTGGAGGGCGTGGCCATCCTGCTCATCATCAGCGTGGACCGCTTCCTCATCATTGTCCAGCGCCAGGACAAGCTGAACCCGCGCAGGGCCAAGGTGATCATCGCGGTCTCCTGGGTGCTGTCCTTCTGCATCGCGGGGCCCTCGCTCACGGGCTGGACGTTAGTGGAGGTGCCGGCGCGGGCCCCGCAATGCGTGCTGGGCTACACGGAGCTCCCCGCCGACCGCGCCTACGTGGTCACCCTGGTCGTGGCCGTGTTCTTTGCACCCTTCGGCGTCATGCTGTGCGCCTACATGTGCATCCTCAACACGGTCCGCAAGAACGCGGTTCGCGTGCACAACCAGTCGGACAGCCTGGACTTGCGACAGCTCACCAGGGCGGGCCTGCGGCGCCTGCAGCGGCAGCAGCAGGTCAGCGTGGACTTGAGCTTCAAGACCAAGGCCTTCACCACCATCCTGATCCTCTTCGTGGGCTTCTCCCTCTGCTGGCTGCCCCACTCCGTCTACAGCCTCCTCTCTGTGTTCAGCCAGCGCTTTTACTGCGGCTCCTCCTTCTACGCCACCAGCACCTGCATCCTGTGGCTCAGTTACCTCAAGTCCGTCTTCAACCCCATCGTCTACTGCTGGAGAATCAAAAAATTCCGTGAGGCCTGCATAGAGTTGCTGCCCCAGACCTTCCAAATCCTCCCCAAAGTGCCTGAGCGGATCCGAAGGAGAATCCAGCCGAGCACAGTCTACGTGTGCAACGAAAACCAGTCTGCGGTTTAGGGGCCAGGGGGCCACAGAGAAAGGGCAGCTGAGCCCAGGTCCCAGGGTGGGCTGGTCTGTCCTGCTCTGTTCCCCGGCGCGTTGGTTATAGTCTATACTTTGTGGTGGCTATTTAAGCACAAAGGTACTCCTTTGTAGTCAGATGAGCTGCAGCTTCCAAATTTCAGATTTTGGCGAGATGAATTATTTTTGTTTCTCTTTGCAGAAGAGCTGAATATGGGGCTGATGGGAACTGCAAAGTCCTTAAGGCAAAAATGGAGTGGGCTGGGGAGAGCAGAAGTTGGGCAGAAAGGGAGGAGGAGGGTGACAGGGAGTGAAGCTGGTTGAGTGTGGGGCAGGAGGAGGCGTCGGTCACAAGAGCTTCAACCTGCCCTCCGAGCCCTCTCTGCACCTGCTCAGGAGAAACCCCAATAGCTGTCAGCTCCTGGGTGTTCATTCATTTTGTTTGACACCAGAGCGCTTCAGTTATTGATGTCTGTGGTGTGTGGGAATGCACCAGTTTCTCTATGTTGGTCAGATGTGCATTTCTGGCCATGCCTAAGTATCTTTTCTGGAAACAAACCAAAATCACATGGGGAAGTGGAGTGAGCCTCTGTGCTTTGAGCTCCCTGGGATGATGCATGGGGGTCCTCAGAGACTCAAAGCCCAGAGAAGGTACCGGGCAGCCCAGCTGAAGTGAGAAGCACATCTGGGCACTCCTGCATGTCCTCAACACCCCCCACCTGCTGGGCCCACCTCGTCCCTGCACCTCGAGGCCGCTCAGCCTCCCTGTCTGCTGGAGAGCCCCTTGGCCCTTCTCTCTTTCCCTCCATCCCTCTCCCTGCTTCCCTTTGTTTTTATCCCATCCGTTTCCAGTGTGCTGTAGCTTTCCCACTGAGCAAGCAGCTGTAGTGACCAGCTTTCAGTGTGAGCAGTGGGCAGGCTGGGCTTTGTTTACACATTTCCTTTGAACGCCTGGAGCTCCAGAGCCCTTTGAGCCACCAAATCCACATCAGCACTGGACTGCAGTCCATCAGTGTGGACTGCAGGTGCAGCACCACACCAACAAGCCCAATTTTTGGGGTCCCCCTTGGTCTCTGTATTCCTCCTACCTCATTCAGATCCACTGCTGCCATCTGTTTACCTACTGGGACTGGATCCCAGGAGTGAAGTTGGCCAAAGGGGACTTCTCCGCTTGTGCCCTATTCCACCACCACCAGGGGTCCCCACACTGGTTTATGAGGGTCCCGAGTCCAGGGCATAGCATTGAGCCCACTGGGCTCTCCTTATTTTTCCACATCTGAAGAGGGTGGGTAATTTATGGAGAGATTTAAAAAATCTGATTCCAGGTCTGACGCTATCAGGAAGTAGTCATGTGACCTTGTCTGTTTCTCCTCATTTCCCTGGGCGTCAGTTTCCCCATATGCAACACAAGAAAGCAGGTCTAGATGATTTCCAGTGTCCCCTTTCATCTCTCAAACACTCTGATTCTGAAATGCGTGTTTTCTGCCTGTAGTCATCAGGTCCCCTGCATTCATTTATTCATCCATGCAAAAAGCACGGATTGTCTACTAGATGTAAGGCGCTGTGGGGGAGATAGTGATGAATGAGGCATGGGCCGTGCCCAAAAGCAGTAGTCTGATTTATCTCAGGATCATGGTAACTCAAATTCAGCCTAAGAGCACAGAAGCCTCATTTTTGCTTCACTCCTCATTTCTTTCTAAACTGCATTAAGAGCCAGCTCCCGCTTCTCACACTTTCTTCCCACAGTAGTGGTAATGGAGGCAGGGATGAAAGGGGGGTGAAAGTAAGAACATAACTTCCCTTAGCCCTCCTCTTAGCCCAGAGGAGGGTTCAGAAGATAATTGACACTTGCTCCCCTCCCCATTTATACCCAGATGGAGAGAGAGGGAGAATATGTGCAATTGACCTGTGACCGAGGGAGCTGGGCCCCATCAATTCTGTGTCCCCAGTTCACCCAGAAAGGCCAGGATTTGCCTTCAGCTCCATGGAGCAGAGCTGTAGGGCCCCAGCAGTGCCCAACAGCACAGCCAGGTCACCAAGGGGACCAAGCCCATGGGCACCTCCCCTCTGGTGAGGCATTTCAGAGAGTTTACTTCAGAAGCCTTGAACAAAAGAGAAATCACACTGAATAGATGAAGGTATCAAAATTTACATCAATCAGTGTTATATGATGTATGTTGGACAGTAATATATATGTTTCAAAGTAATAATTTTGTATATATTTTAAATAAAGTATTATTGCTCTTTCTGTGTATAAGCCTATGTTCTTGCCAAAATTTGCACCAAGACCATACATATTCAGCCCAGAATCCAATGCCTAACACCCCTACGTCAGTTTGTTCAGACTCCTATAACAAAATGCCTTAGACTGCGTAATTTTTAAACAATAGAAACATTTCTTCCAGTTTTGGAGACTGGAAAGTCCAAGTTAAAGGTGTAGGTAGATTCAGTGTCTGCCGAGGGTTCCTGCTCTGCCTCATAGATGACACCTTCTTGCTGTGTCCTCGAATGGCAGAAGGGGAAGGGGCACTCATGCCTCTTTCACAGGGCACTAATCTCATTCACCCATCTCTTAATACTATCCCAGAGGCCCCATCTCTTAATACTATCCATTGAGTATTAGTTTCTAACACATGAACTTTGGGAGACACCACATTCAGGCCCTAAGACGAAAGGCTTCAGGAAGTCTAGAACCTGAAAGTTAACAAGCAACGCTGGAAAGACTAAAGATAAGATGACAGCTATGACAACTGGGAGACCGTTAGAACAATGTAGGTCACAGCTGGGTGCCCATGAGTTTTGTTTTGTTTTTTATTATGGTGCTGCTAAATCACTCCAGCCAGTTAATCTTCTCTTTTTACTTGCAGTATGACACTTTCACAACCCTATCTCGTTTCACAATCCTATCAGGCCTTGCTTGAATCTTTAACAAACTGATTTCCTAAGATACCAAATAAATATCCGGTCCTAGTCTCCTTCCCTGAGACTCACAGGATAAGCACTGTTTCATTGTTTTATTTATTTTTAATTTTTATTTTTTTGAGAAAGAGTCTCACCCTGTCACCCAGGCTGGAGTACACTGGCATGATCTTGGCTCACTGCAACCTCCGCCTCCTGGGTTCAAGTGATTCTCCTGCCTCAGCCTCCTGAGTAGCTGGGATTATAGGCGTGCGCCACCACACCCAGCTAATTTTTGTATTTTTAGTAGAGATGAGGTTTCACCATATTGACCAGGCTGATCTTGAACTCCTGACCTCAGGTGATCTGCCCGCCTCAGCCTCTCAAAGTGCTGGGATTACAGGTGTGAGCCATTGTGCCCGGCCCATTGCTTCATTATTATTTTTTGCATCTTCTTTTTAGCCCTGTGGCTCACCCAAACCCTAGACTCTGTGTGAAGTCTGGGCAGCTTCACAGCTAAATTGTCTCTGTGGGACCTTGGGCAAGACAGAGAAACTTGGCTGACCATGATAATAACCCTGGAGGCAGGCACCCAGGCTCTTTGGGAGATTCTTGCCTTAAAATGAGACACAAGGAAGTCTCAGAAGTGTCCTCCTACTTGTAAGTACTGCTGCAAACTGCCACCTTTTCATCTTGAATTGTAGTCCCCAGGGTCAGGGTGAAACAAAATCAAAGTTTCCCTAGGATGGTCTGATAACCACGGTGAGCAGCAAATACCTAGATCAATTCTTACTTTGCCATTCTGAGCCCTGGGTATATTTTCCTTGCACACAAGTCATGGGGCATGCTTTTTTTTTTTCTTTTTTGAACTAAAAAAATCCTCTATGTTAAGTATTTTCAACACTGCTCAGCTCACTTGTTGATGTAGTTGTGAATCTTGGCCCCAGAGCCCTCACAGTGGCAGGAGTGCCCAGCGCTCAGCTTCTGCTCTTACGGAAACACAGGGGATGTGGAGCATGTGCTTGAAACAGGACAGTCTGCAAGCCAGGGTGCCTTGCTCTCTGTGGGATCCTGGGCAAGTGACACCGCATTCCTGTGCCTCACCCGCCTCATCTCTGAAATGGCAGAAATATTCCCAGCCGGAAGACCACAGTGAGGAATAAACAAAATCATGCATGTAAAGGATCTAGTCCACGGCTGAGCCCATGGTAGATGCTAAAGGCATGGAGGCATTACAGTTCCACTGTCGCCCTGCTGATAGCCAAGCTTTGTCCTTTCTGGGCAAGGGTAGAAAGTTCTTTAGTGGGCAGCATCTGGGTGCCCTGTAATTCAATTCAATACTGACACTACCTACCTGGAGTTAGAGTCAGATCCCACAGCTTGAGGGCTCAGTGCCACAAGACTACCACCCCCATTTCAGATGTCAATCACATGTAGGAGGTGGTCACCATCCACAGAAGGCAGGAGCGTTGAGTTTGGCTTTAAAGAGCAAAAGTCTACTTGCTGGCCTCAACGACACCACCTCACTCCATTCGAATCTCTCCCTAGGTTGTAAGCTGGCCTCACAGGGTGCACAGAGGGATGAGGCGATGTGTGATGCAACCCATGCCCTTGCCTGGAAAGCATAGCCTCTGGTGCACATGGCTGCTCTCAGGGCTAGTCTGAGGTCCCCAGAGCACTGTGGAGCCTGCCTGGGAATGCAGGGAGGCAAGGAGGATGAAGGCGGAGTGGTTAAAAGGCTGCTGTCACAAAGACAGACAACACTATGGGGGCTGAGACAGACAGACAAATTTTGTTTCCCTCTGATTAATAGCCCAGGCAGCCAGGTGGGTGCTCTGCTCTGTGTGGGTGTTTAGGATGCAGTTTCCTTCCATCTAGTTTCCCACTGTCCCTGGGGCACTGTCCTTATCTTTATGGTCACACTGTGTTGCAGCTTCCTCCATCTTCCAGCTCCTGAGGAAGGGAAAGAGGATGTGGGAACATGTATAGGACGACACCCCACACTTGGCCCTGGTCTTCCACCACCAAGAGTGGAAGCTCCCGGCCACACCTAGCTGCAAAGGAGGCTGGGAATTGGAGTGCCTCATCAGGAGGTTGTCTGCAAGCTGCAACCTACAGAGGAAGAAGATGGGAGCTGGGCACAGTGGCTCACATCTATAATGACAGCACTTTGGGAGTCCTAGGCAGGAGGATGGCTTAAGCCCAAGAGTTCAGTTAAAGATCAACCTAAGCAACATAGTGGAGACTCTGTCTCTACAAAAAAAAAAAAAAAAAAAAAAATCAGCCAAACGTAGTAGTCCACACCTGCAGTCCCAGCTACTCAAGAGGCTGAGGCAGGAGGATCACTTGAGCCTAAGAGGTCAAGGCTGCAGTGAGCCATGATGGCACCACTGTACTCCAGCCTGGGCAACAGAGTGAAACCCTATCTTTAAAAAAAAGAAAGAAAGAGGGGAAGGATATTTGGTGGACACGTGGCAGTGCCTGCAGAAACATCACACAATTTTTAAAAACAGGAGATCCTAGCAACACATACGAATTACAAAATTCACAAAGGAGACTTTTTTTATTGTAAGTAAGCATATCTCTAAT